GATCTTCCTCAGATCGGGCTCAGCAACCGGAAGCATTGGCGGCTCCATTGGGCTATCCGTGGGTCAGAGCACGGGCTCCGGTGGGTCTATTCAGCTTTCGAGCGGAACAGCTTCTGTCGGCGGTGGGACGTCGATCTTCAGCGGTGGCGGTACTGCGGGTGCATCCGGCTCGATTCTACTATCTTCGGCATCAGCTACAAGCGGCACCTCGGGCTCAATTGGTTTCTCGACAGGAATTGCTACAGGTGGTACCAGTGGAGGCATATCTGCCTCCGTGGGCACATGCACAACGGGCTCTGGTGGTGTAATTGCTCTCACCGCTGGTTCTGGACCGCTTGGTGGCTCCGTGACACTTGCAAGTGGCATAGCGTCGGCCGGCAAGTCGGGTGATATCGAGCTTCTGACAAGTGCTGCGACTGGTGGTGCCTCTGGAGCGCTAATGTTTTCCTCTGGCACGGCTGCGGGTGGTGCAGGTGGCAATATCGTCATGTCCGTCGGAAATGGTGGTGTTGGTTCAGGTGGAAGGGTCAATATCACGTCTGGATCGAGCTCGGTGGCCTCGGGCGGGGCCATTACCCTCTCTGGTGGATCAGGTCTCGTCGGCGGGAAGATCAGTCTCGTTGCTGGCGTCGGTTCGTCTGGTAATGGCGGCGACATCGCGATGGCGTCGGGCGTTGCTTCGCCCTCAGCGACTAGCGGCGCGATTACATTAATCACCAACGATGGCACTACTAGTGGATCAATTGCACTCACGTCTGGTGCGGGATCTACTGGTACTAGTGGCTCAATTACGCTCTCGGCATCGGCGAGTCATAGCTCAATCGGTGGTGGTCTCGCACTTACAAGCGGTGCCGGATCAATCGGTGGCGGCTCTGTGAATGTGATCAGTGGTGCATCCACTGCTGGCTCTTCCGGTGCAATGCTGCTGTCCACGGGCGCCTCAGCGACGGCATCAGGGGGGTTGCAGCTGTCAACAGGCGTCTCTCAAGGTGCCCAAGCCGGAGACATTACGCTCGCTGTCGGAAGCGGTTCACCAGGGACAACAACTGCCGGCGGCCAAATTTTGCTTTCGGGTGGCGATAGCTCGTCCTCTACGGGCGGTCAAGTCGTCTTGCAGAGCGGCGTCGGTACGATTGGTGGTGATATTTTTATCGAAGCAGCCTCGGGCACGTCTCTTCAAGGCGGCAACATCATCGCCACTGCCGGGACTGGCCACGATGGCGCTGGTGGCTCGGTTCAAATTGCAAGTGGCGGAAGTACTCCGATGGGACAATCTGGAAGTATCTCGCTGAGCACCCTGTCCGCGAAGTCGTCGGGCAGTGTTACTTTTACGACGGGTACTGCTACGAATGGCGCGGTAGGCAGCATCTCTGCTTCTATTGGCACAGGGAGCGTTGGTCTCGGCGGTACTATCCAACTTTCGGCTGGCACTTCGGTCGTTGGCGGAGGTATTTCTCTTTCGAGTGGATCATCAACCAACGGCGCTTCGGGGTCGCTTGCTTTGACAACAGCTGCGTCAACTGGGGGCATGGCGGGCAGTGTTTCCGTCTCTACCGGCAGTGGCAGTGGTGGCGCGGGTGGCTCAATTGCGCTCTCGGTTGGAGCTGGTGACACTGGCCATGGGAACGCAATCACGCTTGGAGCTGGTGCTACGTCTGCCCAATCCGCAACTGGAGGCAAGGTGAGTCTGTCCGGCGGCAACGGCGCGAGCGGTGGGAACCTCGAGTTCACCAGTGGCCAAGGGTCAAGTGCAAATGGCGGCAATGTCGTGATCAAGACCGGTTTCGGAGCTTCCACGTCGATATCCGGTGCACTTGCATTGAGTACGTCTCCCGGAGCCACGGCGGGTGGTATCTCACTTTCAACCGGCCCATCGTCATCGGGTGTTGGAGGAGCTATTGCTCTCTCTGTCGGCGCTAGCCTTTCTGGCACGGGTAGCGCTGTAACCGTATCCAGTGGATCGGGAGTCACTGGAGGGGGTATCAACCTCTTTTCCGGTGCGTCTACCGCCGGGGCGTCTGGCGCTGTGTCTCTGGCTTCCGGAACCTCTTCTGGGGGTAATTCGGGTGCTTTATTGCTTACGACGGGCGCGCCAACTGCTGGGACAGGTGGAAGTATCTCCGCTGCAGTCGGAAGCGGGGTGTCCGGGGTTGGTGGATCGATATCTCTTGCTGCTGGGAGCAGCTCTGCTGCTGGTGGCGGCAAGACCGTCCTCGGTGGCGGTAGTGGTACCTTGGGCGGCAACGTCGAAATCAACGGCGGTACTGCTACATCCACAACTGGCGGTAGCATTCTTCTCGTGAGTGGCACCGGTGCCGGTTCATCTCCGAGTGGCACTGTCGTCATTGGCACACCAAACGGTGGGTCAAGTGGTGGTATCACTCTGCAATCCGGTATGGGCACGTCTGGGTCAAGTGGGCCCATCATTATGGCCGCTGGTACATCAAGTACTGGCCTTGGTGGTGCGTTAAACCTTTCAAGTGGCGCTGGTCCGTCTGGCGGTGCTATCGCGCTGACGTCGGGTGGGGCAACGGCTGGTCTGTCTGGCGCTGTAAGTTTACAATCCGGTGCTGCTACCAGCGGATCATCTGGCCCCGTCTCGATTACGACGGGGGTCGTGACAAGTGGCGGTGCCGGTGGCAGTATCACAGCGGCAGTTGGTGCTGGCACGTCTGGCGTGGGTGGGTCGGTGTCACTTACAGCAGGCTCGAGCCCTTCTACGGGTGGACTCGTCGTACTCGCCGGTGGTGCTGGTGCTACAGGTGGCGTGATCAAGCTCATTGGCGGCACGTCGTCTGCCAATACAGGTGGAGCTATCGTTATCAGCAGCGGTGACGCTGCTGCAACTAGTGGCGATGTGAGCCTGGCTACGAGCAGTGTTGGTACCAGCAGTGGCTCTGTACTGGTAACGACGGGGAGCTCTGCCGGCTTCGTGGGCACAATTAGCGCGCTAGCAGGCAGCTCGACTGGTACAAGGGGTGCCGCGATCACTTTGTCTTCTGGATCATCGACACTCTCAACAGGCACTGGTGGGAAAATGTCGGTGTCTGGTGGAAGTGGTGCTACGGGTGGCACTGTCGAACTAACAAGTGGTGCCGGATCCAGCACCACCGGTGGCAATATTCTCTTGACGTCGGGCGCAGGTGGCGCCGCATCTCAGAGTGGGTCCATCATACTCATGTCGGCTGGCGGCGCACCATCCAGCGGTGCTCTTTTATTGGAAACTGGAGCCTCTACAACTGGAACCAGTGGATCGATAACTTTGTCCAACGGTGATACCGGTGCGGGCATTGGAAGCTCGATTGCGATCATCAGCGGAAAGAGCACCACGGCTAGTGGTGGTAATCTCGGTCTCTCTGCTGGACAAGGCACAATCGGCGGCGACCTCCAGCTAACGGGAGGCGTGGGGGTATCTTCAAGTGGTGGTCGCGTTCTTCTTACAAGTGGCCAAGCCTCTGACCCTACCCAAGCGAGTGGTGACATCGTGATCAGTACGGGTATTGGTTCGACGACTGGCGCTTTGAGTCTATCGACGAGCGCTTCGTCAAGCGGTGGCTCGGGTTACATTCGAGCCATCGTCGGTGCTAGTAGTGCTACCGGTGGTGATATAGCTTTGTCATCGGGTGGTGGTGCGACGGGGGGCCAAATTGCTTTAACGAGCGGCGCGTCGACTGCAGGCAAGTCCGGCTCAATTGTCATCACAACGAGTGCAGCGGTTGGTGGTGACGCCAGCGGTATCGCTTTAGCAACTGGAACGTCGACAACAGGCACCGGTGGATCAATTACAGCCAGCGTCGGCGCCGGCGTCTCCGGAATCGCTGGCAGCATTTTGATGGTTGCGGGCGCAAGTTCAGCTTCGGCCGGTGGCCTTGTTACCATTTTGGGTGGCAACGGTACCGTGGGTGGCAGCGTGCACCTTGCAGGTGGATCTGGCTCGACGTCAACGGGTGGAAATGTTCTCTTGAGCAGTGGCATCAGCACAGCCGCGGCGCCAAGTGGGGGGATTTCACTCAGTACAAGCTCCAACGCAGTCTCGGGCACTATTGTGATCCAGACCGGCGCTGGTACAAGTGGTTCTGGTGGTGCTATCTCAATTGGAGTCGGCGTCGGAGCTTCTGGAACCGGTGGAGCGGTAACGTTATCAAGCGGTCAAGGACCTCTCGGTGGCAATGTTATTGTTTCAAGTGGTGCATCATCAGCCGGTACCTCGGGTACAATTTCACTGGGGACTAGCGTTTCAACTGGTGGTAACTCGGGTGCTATATCGTTTACCACGGGCACTGCTACGGGCGGTGCCGGTGGTGGTATCTCAGCGTCTGTCGGCAATGGAGCTTCGAGTACTGGCGGCTCAATTACACTCTCAGCTGGTGCTGGCCAAAGCACAGGTGGTGTGAGCTCACTTATCGCTGGCTCTGGTACTACTGGTGGTGCTGTACAAGTAACCGGTGGCACAGCCTCAAGTGGGGCTGGCGGTGTCTCAGCCATCATCGGTGGTGCGTCAATTTCGGCCACAGGTGGCGCCGTTCAGCTTACTGCCGGTAATGGTGCCGCGATGTCTGGTTCTGTTCTCGTGTCGACAACCTCGTCCAGCAAGTCTGGTGCCATAGTTTTGTCAACTGGATTGGCAACTTCTGGCAGCGGTGGCAGCATTCAAGTCGCTGTCTCTGGCGGAAACAGTGGTGTTGGTGGGAGCGTCAGTCTCTCCAGCGGTAGCTCCGTGATCGGTGGAGGCGTAGTACTCGGCACGGGGTCGTCAACATCCGGGGTCTCCGGTGCAATCACTCTCCAGACGAGTCTAGCAACCGGAGGCAGCTCTGGTGCGATTCTGTTGTCGAGTGGTGTGTCTGCTGGAGGCTCCGGCGGTGCTGTTTCCGTCTCTGTCGGTACCGGCTCCAGCGGAGCAGGTGGCGGTATCCACTTTGTCGGAGGTCAAAGTACTACTGCTGTCGGCGGCGCAGTCAGGGTCACAGCCGGTACAGGGACGCTCGGTGGCGATGTGCAAGTCACTGCTGGCCAAGGAACATCGGCAACAGGCGGCAATATTGTTCTCGCTACTGGTAACGGCGCATCTACGTCGTTGAGTGGCGCGATAACGCTTGCTACGGCGGCAGCTGCGACCAGTGGCCAATTGAGCATGGCGTCAGGCGCCTCCAGCTCTGGTTCGGGTGGTATTATTTCGCTCTCGACCGGGACAAGCACTGTCGCAAATGGTGGTGACATTCAAATCTCAAGCGGAAGTGGCGCCGGCGGCGGCAGTATAGTTCTTTCGAGTGGTGTCGCCTCGTCAGGAGTCTCTGGCGGGATGTCTTTCACGACTGGAATCGCCTCGGGTGGCAACACGGGCTCCGTGACCATATCAACTGGCGCATCTACTGGCGGCACAAGCGGCAGCATCGTGGGGATGGCTGGTAGTGCTACTGTGGGAGCGGGTGGACTCGTTTCGTTCGCGGCTGGGGCAAGTTCTGCGACGGGTGGCACTGGTGGAAAGACGGCACTCTTTGGAGGCTCCGGTACAACGGGTGGCAATGTTGAAATGACACCTGGCAGCGGCTCGTCGACTGGTGGCAGTGTCGTGGTCAATTCTGGCTCTGCATCGTCGGGAATCAGTGGCAGTGTTATTTTGGGGTCGGCTCCAAGCGGCGTCAGTGGCTCGGTCGCTCTCTCGACAGGAAGCGCAGCAACGGGGCTCAGTGGATCATTTTCTGTCACGATTGGAACAAGTGCGACAGGGGCAGGCGGTTCCGTTGCTATTACAAGCGGCAGCGGGGTCACTGGCGGTAATTTCATTATGGCGACTGGTACCAGCTCCAACGGGCTCTCAGGAGCCTTCAACATAAACTCTGGAGTCGCTACCGGCGGGGACAGTGGCAATGTGACGTTTGCAACTGGATCATCGACCAGTGGTCGTGGCGGCACTATTGCGCTTCTTGTGGGCACTGCGACGTCTGGAATCGGTGGATCTGTCTCAGTCGCCGCTGGCGCAAGCACCTCGTCAAGTGGTGGCAAGACTATTGTTTTTGGTGGCACCGGGGTGTCTGGAGGCGACGTGGAACTTTCCGGTGGTGTTGGCAGCAGTGATTTCGGCGGGACAGTTTCAATCCATTCGGGGGCCAGTTCAACAGTGTCAACAAGTGGCTCAATTATTTTGTCGACAGCCTCAAGTGCAACGAGCGGCAACATTCTCATGGCCACTGGTACAGCGTCGACAGGTAGCGGAGGGGATTTTTCCGTCTTGATTGGTGCTGGCACCAGCGGTACAGGCGGTAGTATCAATATGCTGGCGGGCAGCTCGTCCGTTGGTGGCAGTGTCACCATCGGAAGTGGTCCATCGATCAGTGGTGTTTCGGGCTCCGTCCTAATTTCTACGGCGACGGCAAGCGGTGGCAACTCCGGAGGCATCGCTCTGTCGACCGGTGCTTCTCCCAGCGGGGCAGCGGGCGCAGTTGCGGTCACGGCTGGTTTGGGCTCGACTGGTTCAGGCGGGGCCACAACCATTGCTGCTGGCATCAGTACGGCGTCTACGGGTGGTCTTTTGGCCGTGTACGGCGGCAATGGTACCAGTGGTGGTGGTGATGTACGCGTCATAGCTGGCGCCGGTTCGTCCGGAAACGGCGGTAGTCTCATGTTCCTCAGCGGTCAAGGAGCTTCCGCAGCTACAACTGGACAAGTGGACATTAGCACGGCCGCTGGGGGCACCGGTGGCAACGTCCGATTGAGCACTGGGGATTCTAGTCTCGGATCTGGAGGGGCCATCTCACTTTCGATTGGCGCGAGTGCTTCGGGCTCTGGTGGAAGCATCAATCTCAACGCTGGGACTGGCGTTACTGGTGGTGTCGTGACCGTATCTGGTGGATCCTCGACCGGGGGAGCTGCTGGTGCACTGTCCTTTATGTCCGGAAATGGCGCGCGTGGCAACTCAGGCATCATCTCCATTACCACGGGGTCAGCATCGTCTGGTACTGGTGGCAACATTGCTCTCTCCGTGGGCAGTGGTACGTCTGGGGCTGGCGGGTCATTTCTCGCAACTGCCGGAGCCAGCACTACTGCAAATGGTGGCAGTGTCAGTCTTCTTGCTGGATCTGGAGCAACAGGTGGGACCGCATCTGTTTCTGCGGGGGACGGTACGGCAGGCAACGGTGGAGCTTTGCTCTTGCGCAGCGGTCAAGGCTCTCAAGTCAGTGGCGCCGTGTCCATCGCTTCAAGCTCTATCGGCAGCGGAAGTGGGATAGTGTCCATCAGCACTGGATCCTCATCGGGCGTTGTTGGTGCTATTTCTGCGCAAGTGGGCAGTAGCTCCTCGAGTACCGGCTCGGCGTTGTCTTTGACTGCTGGGGCTACTACAGTCTCTGGTGGTGTGGGTGGCAAGATATCGGTTTCTGGTGGTGATGGCGCTGTCGGAGGTTCCATCCAGCTATTGGGTGCTGTCGGCTCCGCACTAACGGGTGGCAGTGTGTCGCTTGTCAGTGGCATTGGCGCATCCAGCTCCTACAGCGGATCAATTACGCTCTCAACGGCGTCTTCAACAGGTTCGAGTGGCTCAATTTTGCTACAATCGGGAGTCGGTGCAACGGGTGTCAGCGGCGATATCGATTTGAGCGCTGGCGAAGGCAACGGCACGATCAGCAACGGGGGCGCGTGAGTATGGTTGCAGGGATCTCGACGAATGCAAAAGGCGGTGACTTGACAGCCGCTGGCGGCAACGGCATCACGGGGGGTGACTTGTATTTGTCAAGTGGCACTGGCTCAACTGCTCCTGGTGGGCTACTAACGCTGGCAGCTGGATCATCCGCTTCGTCCACCGGCGGTAATGTGCTCATATCCAGTGGTACAAGCGCTGGGACAACGCCTAGTGGGTCGATTGTCTTGTCGACTCCAAACTCGGCTGCAACAAGCGGCGCAATAACCATAGTGTCCGGAAGTCCGACGACCGGATCCAGCGGCGTCGTCAACTTGTCGACGGGTGTATCGGCTTCTGGAGCTGGTGGCAATATCAACGTCGCAGCTGGTGCAGGCGTCACACTGGGTGGTACTGTTACAATTGCCAGTGGCGCCGGGGCCGGTGGTGGTCTGGTATCGCTTCAAGCTGGCTCTGGGTCGAGCAGCACTGGAGGAAGTCTTGCGCTTACAAGTGGAGCATCCAGCACTGGCTACACTGGCGACGTGACATTATCCGCAGCCGCTGGTGCTCGTGTTGGAACCATCACGCTTAGCACTGGCACATCGACTGCAGCGGCCGGGAGCATGTCCATGACTGTTGGAGACTCGTCTAGCCCTGGTGGGGCTATCAGTCTGGCTTCGGGACTCAGCTCTCAGTTTACTGGTGGCTTGCTGTCGCTCACTGGTGGCCTTGGGACAACTGGGGGCTCGGTTGGTGTAACGGGTGGCGTGGGAAGCACGAACAACGGAGGTCACGTCATCGTAACTGGTGGTGCCGGGTCATCAGCTCTCGGCGGCGGTATCTCGTTACTGAGTGGCGCAGGTGCCACATCGGGAACCATTTCGATACTGACGGCCAGCGGTCAAAGTGCAACTGGCGCTGTGACTCTCGCAACAGGTATTTCCAGCAGCGGCCTCAGTGGGCCCATTGGACTCAGCGTTGGTGGCTCGTCGAGCGCATCGCCGGCTTCTGATGTGTCTCTTGTTGCCGGCCTTAGCTCTGCCGGTTCAGGTGGTCGAGTGACAGCGACATCGGGAGCCGGTTCTGTCGGCGGTGATTTGCTACTTACTAGTGGTGCAGGCTCCAACGACGTTGGTGGAACGATTCGACTCACGGGTGGAACGTCTTCTGCTGCAACGGGTGGTGGTATCGTCCTGACGAGCGGCGTGAGCACTGGATCATTTACGAGCGGAAACGTGACGCTAGCCACAGCGTCTGGGTCGTACCCATCTGGGTCAATTGCTTTGAACTCGGGCAGTTCATCATCAAATTCGGCCGGTCAAATCACGGCCACTTCAGGCACGAGCAGCAGCGCAGGAGGCGGTGGTGCGGTGACACTAACGGGTGGTCTCGGAAGTACTTCGACGGGCGGCAGGGCGTCTCTTGTCGGCGGACAAGGAGCCATCGGCGGCACAGTTGCTCTTTCAAGTGGCGTCGGTGGTACATCGACGGGCGGTCAAGTCGTTCTAGTGGCTGGCGGCGGCTCGTCAGCGTCTGGCAGCGGTTCTGTGTCAGTGTCGACCTCCGGGGGCGCCTATCCTTCTGGCAGTATATCTTTATCCACCGGTGCATCCACGGCCGGAAGCGCCGGCGCTATCTTGATCGCCCCTGGCGCGGGAACAGCCGGGACAGGTGCGCCGATAACGCTTCTTGCCGGGTCGAGCACCGCGTCAACGGGGGGCAAAACGAGTATTTCCGGAAATACGGGAACAATCGGCGGCAATGTGGAGCTCAACGGCGGCACAGGAACGAGTTCGACAACGACCGGCGGCAGTATTCTCGTCACATCCGGTGTCGGCGGTACTCGAAGCGGTCTCATCTCACTACAAACGAGCAGTGGTGCCTTTACAAGCGGCTCGATCAGCATCTCGACTGGAACCGCAACGTCTATTGGCTCAGCTGGTGGCATACATGCCTCTGCTGGTGGAAGTGCTGTCGGTGTTGGTGGCCCCGTGTCATTGACGGCGAGTCTGGCGTCTGCATCAACTGGTGGTAAGATTGCTCTCAACGCTGGACAAGGCACATCGGGTGGTAACATTGAGATGGCATCGGGCGTTGGCTCGACGGGCGCTGGCGGCAACGTTCTTATTACTGCCAGCGCTGGCGTTGCCCCAGCGACAAGTGGATCTGTGACGGTGTCCACATCTGGTGGCGCTTTTACAAGTGGCGCTGTTACTATTGCAACCGGTGCGGCAACGGCAGGTGCTGCGGGAACCATTGCTCTCTCGTCCGGTCAAAGTAGCACCACGAACGGCGGTGACGTCGTTTTGGCTGCCGGTGTGAGCTCGAGCGCTGTCGGTGGTCGGGGGCTCATATCGGGTGGTTCTGGCGTGACGGGCGGTGCCGTGACACTTACTGGTGGAGCGGGCTCTGCCGTTGGTGGAGCCATCAACCTTGCCGGTGGTGCTGGCGCTGCTGGTACTGGTGGTAGCTTGATGCTCACAAGTGGAACGGGTTCCAATACGTTTGCAAGCGGCAGCATCAACTTATCTACTGCCGTTGGCGCAAGTACTAGTGGCGCCATATCTCTCGCTTCCGGCTCGCCCACCTCTGGAATGGCTGGAACGATTAGTGCTGCTGCAGGAACGTCATCTTCTGGGACGGGTGGTCTTGTCGTCTTAACGGCTGGTATTGGTGCTGCCGGTGTAGGTGGCAGATCGTCGTTCGCCGGCGGACAAGGGACTCTTGGCGGCAATGTCGAGATTAGCGGCGGTGCTGGCCTCACAGGTCTCGGTGGTAACATCAATTTGTGGAGTGGTTCTGGGGCTACGTCAAGCGTCAGCGGTACCGTTGCACTATCGACATCGAGTGCAAGCGCTACCAGTGGCTCTATCACACTTGTGACGGGCTCGGGCGCGAGCGGTGTCGGCGGGGACATCACAGCTTCGGCAGGCACAAGTTCAACAACAACTGGCGGGAACGTACTTCTAGCAGCTGGCGTCGGTACAACCGGTGTCGGTGGCAGGGCGTCACTCAATGGCGGCGTGGGTACAATCGGTGGCAGAGTACTGATTACAGGAGGGCAAGGCACGTCCGCGGCCGGCGGTGCTCTCGTGCTTGTGTCAGGTGCAGGTGCCTCGTCGTCGACCAGTGGCTCCATCACGATATCGTCTTTTGGTGGCGTGAGTACCAGTGGATCTGTGGCTCTTGCAACTGGTGCCTCCTCGTCGGGTACAGGGGGTGCCATCTCGATCTCAAGTGGCGCGGGAACCGTCGGTTTTGGCGGGGCTGTCGGTATCATTGCTGGTAGCAGCACTGTTTCGGCTGGCGGCACCAGCTCTTTTTCCGGTGGTCAAGGCACAACGGGTGGCAGCGTTTCTTTGGCAGGTGGCGTCGGCACCACGAATCTTGGGGGCGCTGTGGCCTTGTCTGGTGGTGCAGGAACGACTAGCACTGGTGGTGCTGTTTCCCTCACAAGCGGAGCCGGTGTCACCACGTTTGCCAGTGGCAGTGTATCACTCTCATCCTCCGGAGGCGCATTTCCAAGCGGTCTCGTGGGTATCTACAGCGGCGCTTCTACATCGGGCTCTGCGGGTGCAATTGTCGCATCCGTTGGGTCGTCAACGAGTGCCATTGGAGCTTCGATAGCTTTAACCTCAGGCGCCAGTTCGTCCGCTGCTGGCGGTCAACTCTCCCTTACCGGTGGCTCGGGCACCCAAGGCGGTGCCGTCGTGATATCGGGTGCGACGTCTGCAGTGTCTACGGGCGGCGCTGTCACATTGACATCCGGCTTCGCGCCAACGGGAAGTTTTGGTGGCAACATCATTATTGCGACAGCGGGGCGCGATTTTACAAGTGGCAGTGTCCAGCTCTCTACGGGGTCGACGACAAATGGTGCCGCTGGACTGATTGCCATATCTGCAGGCAGCAGTTCCTCTGGTACCGGGGCAATGATCTCGTTATCAGCTGGGGTGAGTACAACGTCTACTGGTGGCAAAGTCGTCGTCGGAGGAAGCTCTGGCTCGTCGGGCGGTGGTAATGTCGAGCTGTCTGGCGGGTCTGCTAGTGCCGGTGCTGGGGTCGGTGGCAACGTACTTCTGACTTCTGGAGTGGGTGGCGCGAGAAGCGGCAGTCTATCATTGAGTTCGCTTGGAGGTGCTCTGACCAGCGGTTCTATTATGTTGAGCACGGGAACAGCAACATCGATCGGCAACGCGGGTAGCATTACTTTGTCCGTCGGCGGCTCTGCTGTTGGCTCGGGTGGCACAGCTACAATGACTGCCGGATCCAGTACTTTGGCCACGGGAGGCAAGTTATCCGTTGCTGGGGGTGACGGACTAGTCGGCGGTGATGTCGCCATTACTAGCGGCATTGGGACGGCTGCCACAAGTGCTGGTGGCAGTGTAAGTCTCTTGACAAGCGCGGGGCAAGGTGCCAGTGGTTCAGTGTCAGTATCGACGAGTGGTGGTTCGTACAACGCCGGCACTATCATGCTTCGTACTGGTGACTCAACAACTGCCTCTGGGGGGTCTGTTGCAATCGCAGTCGGAGCCAGTACCACGGGTCCTGGTGCACCGATTGTACTTACGGCTGGTACAAGTGGGTCTGCGACCGGTGGAGCAAGCACCATCAATGGTGGTACTGGTACGATTGGTGGAAGCGTCGCTCTGGCTGGTGGTGAAGGCTCAAGCACCGGGGGAAGTATTGTGCTAACGGGTGGCGCAAGTCTAGCCAGCTCTGGTGGCAGTCTCATTATGACCTCTGGCTCAGGTGCAACGTCGTATGCATCTGGTAACATCGCTCTGTCAACGTCGTCCGGTCCAAGCACAAGTGGATCAATAGCCGTTGCAACAGGTACCCCCCTGGCCGGGTCTGGGGGCAACATCGGACTTTCTGTCGGTGCGTCATCAGCTGGTTCTGCTGGCACGGTCACTCTCGTTGCGGGCAATACGACTGACAGTGTGGGTGGCGCTGTTTCCGTCGCTGCAGGCTCGGGTACGGTCGGTGGCGCTGTTCAAATTCTCGGCGGGGCAGGTATTTCGACTGGTGGCAGAGTCGTCTTGACGAGTGGCGTTGGTGGTGGCGCATCATCGACAAGTGGCCAAATTCAGCTCTCAACTACCGGTGACAGTATCAACAGCGGCGGCATCTCGATCAACTCTGGTGAATCTTCAACTGGGACAGCGGGGAACCTCGAAGTATCAGTCGGTGCAACTGCAGCTGGAATTGGTGGATCTGCTACATTCGCGGCAGGAGGCAGTTCAAATTCTATCGGGGGTGCATGTATGCGTCAAGTGGAAGTGGTACCTCTGGAGGCGGTGTCAGTATCAGTGCTGGTGCGGCCAGCAGTGCTACTGGTGTCGGTGGTGCCATTACGATGGCGAGTGGTACCGCTGCATTGGGTACCGGCGGTGCGATTTCTCTCGTATCTGGAGCCGGCGCCGCGTCCAAGTCAAGTGGAAGCCTGTCGCTCACTAGCACCAGTGGAGCTTCAGCAAGCGGTGATATCACTCTACAAACTGGCGTTTCGTCGTCAGGTACTGGTGGAGCAATCAGGCTCAATGTTGGCAGCTCCACTGGCTCTGACGGAAGTCCGATTGTGGCGACCGCTGGCGCCAGTACGAATCAAGTCGGCGGACGTTTGGATCTCACAGCAGGCGTCGGTATTACGGGCGGTGACACTCACGTCCAAGGCGGTGGTGGCTCGAACGGCAACGGGGGCAGTGTTTTTGTCACCTCTGGTCTTGGTACGTCTGGATCAAGTGGAGCGCTCAAGTTATCAACCAGTGGTGGAAGCATCAACAGCGGTACCCTCAGTATCTTGACTGGCTCCTCTACTACTGGTACTGGTGGAGCAATCGCAATTGAAGTTGGCGACAGCTCGAACGGCGCTGGTGGGTCCGTAACATTAGAGTCCGGCACCTCTTCACATGCGCTCGGTGGTCAAATTGATATTTTGGCTGGCGACGGTACCGTCGGCGGTGGCATCTTGCTCTCCGCGGGGGCTGGAAGTGCAACGACGGCGAATAGCGGAGGTTCAATTGAAGTACATGGTGGCACGGGCTCAGGAAGCACCGGTGGCGCCATTACTTTGACCTCTGGAGCCGGCGCCTCAAACACTGCTAGCGGTGTTGTCACACTGTCTACATCTGCCGGCACAGCAGCAAGTGGCGCTATTGCTCTTGAAACTGGGATAGCCACGTCAGGCGCCGGTGGTGGTATTGCTCTTGTGGTCGGTTCGAGCTCTTCAACGATCGGCGGTTCTATCACGATGACAGCTGGTGCCAGTAGCAGTCTCGCGGGCGGCAAGCTCCGGCTTTTCGGTGGCCAAGGGACTTCTGGTGGCAACGTCGAGCTTACCTCGGGGAGCGCAACATCGGGGCTTGGGGGACGACTCCTATTTTCTGCGGGTGCGGCGGCAGCAGGTGCGACAGGTGGTGGTATAGCCTTGTCAACCGCGTCTGGTGCGTATACGAGCGGTGCCATCGCCTTGTCGTCTGGATTGTCCACTTCCGGTACTGGTGGCGACATTTCCTTGTCAGTCGGTGGCAGCTCGACGGGATCTGGCGCGAAGGTCTCTGTGACTGCTGGTACCAGCAACGACTCGCCGGGTGGTACAGCCGATCTCTATGGCGGCGTCGGCACGGTCGGTGGGAGCGTCTCGATGTCTGGTGGTCTCGGTAACACCCTCGACGGGGGTAGTATTATGATCAACGGTGGTCAAGGTGTGAGCGGCAACGGTGGGTCAATTTTCCTCACGAGCGGACAAGGTGCAGCATCCAAAGTCAGTGGTGGCATTACTCTTGCAACTTTTGCCGACACGACATCTAGCGGCGGCATAACGTTCTCCACGGGCTCTTCCTCGGCATCCAGTGGGGGCAACATTGTAGTTGAAGCGGGAACAAGCGCAATCGGTGATGGTGCGACGCTTCAACTAGCCGCCGGGCCGAGTACGCTTGGCACAGGAGGCGTAACCAGCATAAATGGTGGCGCGGGCGTCACTGGTGGTGCTGTGAGCCTTACGGGTGGCATCGGAAGCGCGGGTCCAGGTGGTTTTGTCACTCTCGCGGGTGGTGCTGGCAGCTCAAATGGCGCTGGTGGGAACATCTTGCTCTCCAGTGGCGTCGGAACAGCCACAGAGCTCAGCGGAGCAGTCATGCTCTCGACAGCCAACAACCAAGCGACGACAGGCTCTATCAGTATCATTTCAGGTGAAGCGTCGTCAGGTGCCGGTGGGGCCGTGCTTGTGAGCGTGGGTACTACCTCTCTGGCGTCAACGGCAGGCAGCGATGTCTCCTTTGTGTCTGGTGCCAGTGCGACATCTATTGGTGGCAAAGTATCGGCAACAGGAGGCTCTGGTACTGCTGGTGGCAACGTTCAACTTGTCGGTGGTGTAGCATCAACGACGACCGGAGGCACAATCTTGCTTACGGGTGGGGCATCAACAAGTGGTGCGGGCGGTGACATTATTTTGAAATCTGGTGTCGCAACGGCGCCGGCAGCGAGCGGAAATATTCTTTTGTCAACAGTCCAAGGCGCCTACTCCACCGGCTCCATCACAATAAGTTCTGGTTCGTCGACTTCTGGTCTCGCTGGTCAAGTTGCCATCCAGGGGGGCGCGAGTTCGTCTGGTTTTGGTAGCGCATTGGTGTTTGCTGCAGGTATTGCCTCCTCTGGAACCGGGGGCGTGGCTTCTTTTAGCGGCGGTGCTGGCGAAGCTGGTGGCAACGTCGTGCTCACAAGTGGCACAGGAACCTCTGGCGCTAGCGGTCAAGTTATCATTTCCTCGAGCGCCGGAACAACGGCATCGGGCGCTGTCTTACTGTCCACGTCTGGTGGGGCCATCTCGTCAGGAGCTATTACCATTGCCTCGGGATCTTCAACGTCTGGCACCAGTGGTGTCGTATCAATTACAGCCGGTGCTGGGACAACGTCGACTGGCTCGGCTATAACGCTGCTTGCCGGACAAAGTTCGACCATGGCTGGCGGTAAAGTGAGCGTATCAGGCAACACGGGAACGTCCGGTGGTAATGTCGAGCTCAAGGGGGGCTCTGCAAGCAGCAGCACCGCGACAGGCGGAGGCATCTTGCTGACGACTGGAGCTGGAGGCGCTTTCAGTGGCTCTATCACCCTATCGTCGTTTGGCGGCGCATTCTCCAGCGGCTCGCTAAATCTTGGCACGGGTACGACTACTGCTGGTAGCAGTGGTGCTGTCGTTATCACGGCCGGAGGCAGCGCATCCGGCATTGGCGGTCCCATCACGCTTACTAGCGGAGTCGCGTCTCAGTCGACGGGTGGCAAGTCGAGCATTATCGGCGGTCAAGGCACAATTGGCGGCGACGTTGCCATGACGGGTGGTGCCGGTACATCTACGGTCGGAGGCAATGTTATTGCAGCATCCGGTTCGGGGGCGTCGGCTTCGGGTGCCATCACGTTCTCCACCCCTGGCGGTGCATTCGTCAGTGGCAATGTGGGTATCTCTACTGGCTCATCGACTTCGACCTCAGCTGGCACAATCAGTATCTCGGCTGGGACTAGTGCAGCTGGAGCTGGCAGTGCTATCACGCTCACGCCCGGACACAGCACTACATCAACTGGCGGTAAGACGTTGATTCTTGGGGCGACAGGCAGTACAAGCGGCGGCAACGTTGAAGCCACAGCTGGCCAAGGTGCAGCAACAGGGGGCAATGTTCTACTCACAAGTGGAGCGAGCACGGCTGAAACAGGTGGCAACATCAATCTTGTCACTGGTGTGGGCGCCAGCACGTTCCCGAGCGGATCTATAGTACTCTCGACTACGAACCAAGCTGGCACTAGTGGCTCTGTTACAGTCTCGACTGGCACATCGTCTGCTGGAAACAGCGGAACAATCGCCATCACATCCGGCGGCAGCAGCACTGGGACTGGCACAGCGATCACGGCATCGGCAGGCGCAACAGCGGGGACCACGGGTGGAAAAATTTCTCTTTTCGGCGGTGCCGGCCCCGTTGGTGGAAACGTCGAGGTTGCGGCAGGTACCGCAAGTACAGGACTTGGGGGAACCGTTTTGCTCGCTTCCGGCGCTGGGGGTTCTACATCTACTAGTGGCACAATCACACTGTCGACGGCATCAACGGGCTCAAGCTCAAGTGGATCTATTCTTCTCCAATCTGGTGCCGGGGCCAATGGCGTCGGCGGCAGTCTTTCGATGGCGGTTGGTGCCTCTGCGACCGGTGCTGGGAGCCCCATTCTGCTTACATCGGGTCAAAGCTCGGCATCCATCGGTGGCAAGATCATAATGACAGCTGGTGCAGGCGTGACGGGGGCAAACATTGAGCTCTCTGCCGGTTCCGGCTCATCAAGCGCCGGTGGTCAGCTTATTTTGACGTCGGGCACGGGTGGGAGCTCTGCTGCCAGCGGCTCTGTGTCTCTATCTTCCGCTGGGGGCACCAGTACGAGTGGCAGCTTAACTTTGGCAACAGGTGCAGCGACAGCTGGAGCCGGTGGCGTCATAGCTTTATCGGCTGGCTCGGGCACTGTGGCTCTTGGTGGAGCTATCAATCTCAGCGCAGGTAGCGTGACTGGTGCCACGGGGGGTGCAATCTCGCTCCAAGCTGGTCAAGGGACGTTTGGTGGAAACATCAATCTTGCTGCAGGCGCGGCAACAGCCAACACGGGAGGTAGAATCGTCATTACATCCGGTCTTGGATTTGGCTCGAGCACGGCCAGTGGATCACTCACGCTCTCCACACATGGAAGCTCTAGTGCAAGTGGTGCAATGACTCTTTCAACCGGTGCGTCAACGTCAAACTCGGGCGGGGCTATTTCGATTCTTGTCGGCACAGCTGCTCAAAACACTGGCGGGGTTGTGACACTTACAGCGGGCACTGCAACGAACGGTTTCGGGGGTCATTTGACGGCAACAAGCGGCGCCGGTCTCACGGGTGGTGATATCAGTCTCATCGGTGGAGGTGCCACTGCCAACAGTGGGGGCAATGTTCTTTTGACAACGGGCTCGGGCACAGCTGGAAGTGGGTCGATCACGCTCTCTACTACTAGTGGTACTGCGTCCAGTGGCTCTATCGCGCTCAGTGTCGGAGAAGCTTCGACGTCGTCGGGTTCGTTCTCGGTGGCCGTTGGCAGTGGTGCCAGCTCAATTGGTGGTAGCATCGCTCTTTCAGCCGGTGCCACAACTGCAACGTCTGGTATCGGTGGTGTAGTTGCCATTTCTGGTGGCAGCGGCTCTGTGGGAGGCGCTGTTTCTCTACAATCTGGAGCTGGAGCTACAGCTCAAGCGGGTTCGCTCAGCCTCGCGGCAGGCGCTAGTACGTCGTCTACTGGCGGCAGCATTCAACTATATTCCGGAGCCGGAGGCGCGGCTTCGATCAGTGGAAGCATCGTGATGTCCACGCAAGGGACGACGAGCTCCTCTGGAACGATTGCGCTTACCACGGGCAATGCTGGAGGCACTGGTATCGGTGGTGCCATCAGCATTTCCGTTGGCTCGAGTACGACTGGTATTGGACGATCTGTGACAACCACGGCAGGTCAAAGCTCAACGGGGACCGGAGGTAAAAGCTCAATTTTTGGCGGCTCAGGCACAACCGGCGGCAACGTGGAGCTCACCACCGGTCTTGGCTCATCCGCAGGTGGTAACCTCTTACTGGCAACGGCTAGCGGTGGGTCTAGCGGTACGAGTGGCAGCGTGAGCATTCTATCGTCCAGTGGATCCACTACAAGCGGGTCTCTGTCGCTCGCGTCGGGTTCTGCCTCGGGCGCCAGCGGCTCGATTTCCATCTCTGTTGGGTCGACTACGTCGAGTGCTGGTGGTTCCGTCTCACTCTCTACGGGGCAGAGTACGGCAGGTGCAGCTGGTGCCATGACGCTAATCACTGGTAGCGGAACTCAAGGTGGCGATATCACTGCTACTGCCGGTGCTGGAGGGACTCTTTTCGGTGGAAGTCTCGCATTTGCGGCGGGTGCTAGCTCTTCTTCGACTGGGGGTCGTGTGTCACTTGCAAGCGGCGCTGGATCTCTCGGCAGTGGATCGATCACACTATCTTCGGCTGGTAGCACGGGAATGGTAGGGACTGTCACAATTTCAACTGGTGCATCAAGTACCGCTTCCTCTGGTGTCATCAGCATTGCTGCTGGGCAGAGTCAAACTGGCAACGGAGCTGCCGTGACCATAAATGCTGGTCGAAGCGTCGCAACTAGCACCATTGGTGGCCCAGCATCCATTACGGGTGGTGCAGGTACTGTCGGTGGCAACGTTCAGCTTACTGGTGGCGTCGGCAGCTCATCTACCGGTGCCGGTGGTGGCAACATCGTTCTTGCCGGTGGTGTCGGCTCATCTAGCACTGGCGGCTCCATCACGCTTACCAGTGGCGCAGGAGCGGCAGCCATGGCCAGCGGTCAACTCAGCCTCTCCACATTGGCAGGCTCTGCTACAAGCGGCAGCATTACGCTCACCACAGGCGACTCGTCGGCGGGATCAGGCGGTACCATCGCGCTTCTTGCCGGATCATCGACAAATGCTGTCGGAAGCAGTGTCAGCATCACGGCTGGTGCAAGCTCTGCCAACGTAGGCGGCACAAGTCAAGTCACTGGTGGAGCAGGGGCCACGGGTGGCAACGTGCTGCTCACAGGTGGCGTCGGAACCGCCAACATCGGTGGTAACGTTGTACTCACGAGTGGGGCCGGTGCCACCGGCTATGCCAGTGGTGGTATTACTCTCTCGACCACTGGTACGGGCCTCAACAGTGGCGCAATTGCACTCGCAACAGGTGCCTCAACATCGGGCGCCGGTGGCTCAATCTCGCTCTCGGTCGGCGACACTACGACGGGTACCGGAAGCTCCATATCTCTGACTTCAGGCAAGAGCGTCGACGCGCCTGGTGGCAAGACCTCGATATTTGGAGGCATCGGTACGATTGGTGGCAACATCGAGCTCACAGCGGGTACTGGCAGTACGACAGCGGCCGTTGCGGGTGGTGGCAATGTGGTCTTGACCGGTGGCGTGGGCTCGTCGAGCACGGGCGGCAGTATTCAATTGACCAGTGGTGCTGGCTCGGCATCGAAATCTAGCGGTCAAGTTGTTCTTTCCACACTTGGCGGCTCCTCAACAAGCGGAAACATCGTATTGTCGACGGGAAGTGCCACGGCGGGGTCCAGTGGCACGATTCAATTAGCCGCAGGAGCAAGCTCAACCGCAACTGGCAGCACCGTAACCATCACAGCGGGTACCAGCACTGCCGGATCGGGTACCGGCGGAAAGAGCAGTATTCTTGGCGGTCAAGGAAGCACAGGCGGCAACGTCGAGATGACTGGCGGCGTTGGCTCTGCGGGTGTCGGTGGTAACGTCATTCTTACGAGTGGCGCTGGATCGACTACAAGCGGTGCCGTGACGATTTCGACAACGGGCGGGGCCATCAATAGTGGCGCTATCACCTTGTCGACGGGTGTTTCTTCCGCCGGTACTGGAGGTAGTATTGCTCTCGTGGTCGGCGACAGCACTTCCGGCGTTGGAAGTGCGATATCTTTGACATCCGGGGTTTCAACTGCAGCGAGTGGCGGGAAAACGTCTATCTTTGGTGGTGCCGGTCTCGTCGGTGGTAACGTGGAGTTGACGGGTGGTGTCGGCAGCTCGTCTTCGGGTCTCGGCGGCGGTAACGTCGTTCTAACTGGTGGCGTCGGGTCGACAAGCACCGGCGGCAGTGTCAGTCTCGTCAGTGGAGCTGGGAAGACCAGTGGCCAAATTGCTTTGTCAACGGTCTCCGGTACGCAAGCAAGTGGTGGTATCGTGCTCCAAACGGGTGACGGCTTGCTGGGCTCGAGCGGTGCAATCTCCTTGTCGGTTGGTGCCAGCTCAGCCGGAGTCGGAAGCGCTGTTACCATCACAAGTGGAGCCAGTGCTCAGTCGACGGGTGGTGCCACAACCGTTACCAGCGGTCAAGGGCTAGCTGGTGGTGACATCGCCCTCACAGGCGGTGTTGGTACGACCGGAAATGGTGGTAATCTCGTCTTTGCAAGCGGCGCCGGAGCTGCAACAAGCGGTGCCATCACTCTTTCCACCGTTGGTGGCTCGACAAGCAGTGGTCCTATCGCTCTAGTAACGACGACGTCGACGACTGGATCTGGTGGCGCGATTTCGCTCTCGGTCGGAGGTAGTTCTACGGGAGTTGGGAGCGCTGTCACCATCACGTCTGGAGCCAGCGGTGACGCTCAAGGAGGCTCGACTGCGTTGCTTGGTGGTCAAGGCACATTGGGCGGTCATGTTCAGCTGCAAGCGGGCCAAGGAACGTCGACAATTGGCGGCAACATTGTTCTTACCTCTGGCGCGGGATCAACAACCGCAGGCTCTATCATTGCGCAATTGGGCGCCGCCACAACGGCCGGTACCTTCTCGGTGAAATCATCCTCGGGGGCGTCTCTTCTGACTCTGAGTCCGTTGGTCTTTACGGGCACAAGTGCATCGGTGACCTTGTCGTCGACCGCATCAACGATGGCCCTACAGTCGGCCGCCGGTATTGTCCTGACGGGCACGAGTACAAAGGTCACCGGAGGCACGCTCACGGTCGACTCGCAGAGCTTTCAAATTCTCAATTCTGGCACGGCAACTTTCGTCGTAACCAGTGCCGGTGGCATCACGACTGGGGGCAATCTCGCGTTCACAGCAGACGCGACTATTTCAAGTGTGTCGTCGCTTTCGGTGTCATCCACAGCCTTCACGGTCAGTGTTACTGACTCTCTCACACTTGGCTCGTCGTCTCAAACAGCACCGATTGCTTTAAACGGTCCCATCACAGCTGCCAGCTCGGTCAATATCGGCACGAGCGCCACCGTTGGTACCACGCTCACTGTGGCGTCGACTGCAACACTCGGTGGGCTCGTAAAGATTCCTGGTGCCTACTCATCCGCATCTATCTCGTCGTCGACGTCGTGCACACAAGGCGACTTGATCTTCACAGCCGACACACTCTACATTTGCTACGGCACAACATACAGCCGAATCCCGTACACTGCGTGGACGTAAGCTGCCCATGTATAATCTTCATATCAAACACTTCATTTTTTCCATCTCGAATGTTCCTTCAAGCAATGATAATAATGAGCTAGAACTGTCCTTGGTTTTGGACTTTCGACTCTCCGCACGCTGCGACTAACGGCAGGGGTGAGTAAGCCCTTGGTCGTTGTGGATGCAAGGTGTATAAATGGCACAATCCGGAATGATTTGGTGATGGAGCCAGACGTTGTGTCAGCATAACTCTTTAGGCGCAGTTGAAGTTTTAACACAGTCTCAAAGGAGCGTGCCGTGATCAACCAGATTGGCGACAGCCTCGGGCTCCTTGCCTGCTTTTGCCACCCGCAGTACCACAAGCGCGGCTTTCGGCGGCACCGGTTTCAGACGATTCTGATAATGGCCTTGACGTTTTGAGGATGTCGCCGCAAGTCGGAGCACCAACCTGCATGCTTGGTCAAGGCCTCCACGAGCTCTGGATGGGCAAAGGCGTCTGTCTACAACGTGCGGACGCTCAGCCATGGCTGCCGACGGCGCGCGGGTCAAGGCGTCGTGACTGTCATCGCTACTTCCGTCGTGTATTTAGTAAACACAGGAGCTTAGGCGATCGGTTCGGATGCTCCACTTGCGTCTCCACAGCTATATCGATGTGGTTTTTAACCACGTCCTCCAGAACGGCTCAACGCTCATGTCCGACTTCCTCGGCAACCTGATCGAGAAGACCCATTTGGCGTACGTGTGGGCACTTGGCGTGCGTTTCTTGCACCTTCGCATGGCCATCTCCCACGCGCAGCAGTCGCTGCACACGGCTGGCGACTTGGCGTTTCAGTTGCTCTTCGTGCAGCTTGACGGTCCGACGACACTTCTACTGGACGTTGCGCTCGATGGTGGCCTCGTCTCGCTTAGCATCGACGGTGGCCTCTGCGGCGGCAGTAAAGGGTGGGAGTCTTTGTTGGACCGTCTTCTATCGGCCGTCGCCGCACTTTCCGCTCACGCAGGTGACGCAAGCGTCGCTCATCAAGCTCCGAGCGCCGACCCACGCTTCGATCCTCTCGCTGCACTGCGTTTTTGCACGGCAATCTCCCGCTTGAGCTTCGGCGCGGCGCGTGGAACCTCGCGCACTAAGTCGCCCGACGCGACAAGCGGCGACGACGTCGACGACTCGGAGCAGCACCAGCATGTGCTCGCGACCGTCGGCGGTGGCGAAGTCCTGGACCACCTTAACGCCTTCGCAATCAGAAGCGGCAATCTGACGACCGAGACACAGTTGCAGTCGTTCAAGGAGCGTCTCACGGTCTGCCCTGGTAGACCTGCTGGTAGACAGTCATTCTCCTCGTCGATCTGACCAGGACGCAAACCATAGTCGCTGCCGACTATGGTCAAATCAACGTGCCTCTGATTGGTTCAAAATTTTAACGAATCAGTGGCACGTGATTAGTGCCGTCGTTCGGTGTGTGTTTAAAACTAGTTGAGTATGTAGTGTAGGTGATGATACGGAGAGCCTGGTTGTTATGAGCTCAAAAGTACTACGTAGTACACAGTAAAGCAATGAAGACGTTCGCTCAGAACGGAGCTATGCAAGGTAGATTTTTCAGCATAGGCCTCTTGGAATAGAGTCATGCGATTCGTGTACATTAATCTGTTTTAAACAGTATAGCAAATATGTGTTTACAACATCGCCAGGCGGCGCCAACTCTAACATTTTATGCACAAATATGAAGTTTCCGAGGGAATGCGGCATCCGGTGGGGTTGGTTGGCCAGAGGTGATTTTGAGAATCATGGCCAGCGTCCTCCGATCCATGCGCCTGGCCGCCGCCGCGCCCCGTGTCATCGCGTTGAACGCCAAGAGCGCGAGCGTCTCGAGCGCGCGCTTCTTTAGCAGCGACAAGAGCAACGATGGTATGAAGCCTGCGCATGAAGACCACCGACTGACGACCTGGCGTAGGCGAAGGCAAGGCTCCGTACAAGAACCGCTGGTACGTGGCCAAGGACAAGAAGGCCGCGCCGGTGGGCGCCACGGACGATGCCTTGTACAACTTGTCGCCTGAGGACCAGGTCCCTGACGAGCACACGGACTTGCCGACGCTCCCGGAAGGGCACACGTTTACGCTCGGCGAAGGCGCGTACGAAGAGACGCTCGAGTACCCGCAGCGCCTCAACCAGGACGAGCTCGCCCAGCTCGTTGAGAACCAGCGCGACTTTGTCATGGACGACGAAGACGACGACGACGACGACTCGCCGTCGCTCCAAGACAAGTCGTTCAACAACTGGGACCAGGGTGATGTCTACCTTCCGGAGATGATGAACTGGATGCTGCCTCGTCACAAGCGCACGCCGATGAAGCCTGAGCCAAAGAAGGCCTGGACCGAGTTTGTCAAGGCCGACCTCGACCCCGTCGAGCTTGCCCTCAACACGGACTTGCTCCGCCTCTTCATCTCGCCCAACGGCCGCATCGTGCCCCGTCGCTTTACGGGCCTTCGCGCCAAGCAGCAGCGCCAGCTCACCGCGGCTGTCAAGGTCTCGCGTCAGATTGGTCTGCTTCCGTACACTTCGCGGTACCCGTTGCCGTCCCCGAACAGATGGAAGCCATGACGCAGGAAGCCGTCTCGCGCATCAACTTTGCGGCGCTCGAGAACATGGCTGATGAGGTCGATGAGGCCGACGAGCAGTTCGATGAAATGTAGGTAGATAAAGATACGGGTGAAGGCCGTGATATCTTAGACAAACCCTGTGCCTTTATCCTACTTTGCGCAAATTTACAGTTGCGTCTGGTCGTCTTGCGCGCGACTAGTAGCTGTCGTCGCACTGAGATTTGCTGAGGCCCACGGCGCCTTGCCCATCGCATTCCAATTAGCGTTGGCAGCGCGCACTGCTGTTGTGCTCACGGGGGTGTACGAGGAGTCGCCAGATTGCGACGGCACCCACGAGCACGGGATGAGCGACCCAAAGAGCATGTGTTGGATCACGGGCAGCTTCTTCAGCACCTCGCCTTCGTAAAGCTTGAGCATACCAGAGTTGATCTTTTCCCACGAGTGCACGCCGCTGATGTCGTTGAGCATTGGCGACGTTTCGGCAAAGGACGACGCGGCCTTGACCTCGCGTACAAACTTGACCGCGTCCAGGTACAAGTAATCGGGGCTGTGCGCCGCGAGAAGACCATCGTCGTGGACAACCGACGGCGCGAGGTTGCGCTGACCTGCATCGCGCCCCATTATGCATACGCGGCCTTTGATGCGGTCACGTACCAATGAGCTGGGACGAGCCAAAGTAGAATGGCAAGCATTGGTAGTCGTCGAGACCCCAAACACCATGGGAGCCTGCGGGCTCCAGCATGTACGTCTTTTGAAGCCGGCGCATGAGCGTTAGGTACGTGTGGAAGACCTTCAAGACGACAGCTGGGAAGTCTGCCTGGGACACAAACCCAATCTTGTGCAGGGTGCCTGTGATGTGCGATGAGCCTCACATTAGCACAAAGGTACTGTACAAATCCAGAGCATAAAGGTCGTTTCGTGGCCGGTCCCATAGTCGATGCGTGTCCGGTTTCCAAAGCTGTCGATGAGGTATGGGCTGAGCTCGATGGCGGCGTCTTGCATACCAATCGAAGCGAGAAGTGACGCATGGAGCTTCGGTGCTTCCTACCGTCCTCAGTCGGTTCCAGTACGTACACACAACACAATTGCAGTTCACCTGGGCGAGGCGATCGTACCAGTCCCGGAACGCCTTGTTGCCAAAGCGCATGGGCTGGTCAATGGGCGGAATCTCATCGATCCAAGAGTTCAGCGTCGCAAGGAGGCCGCAGAGCGCCTCGACGTTCTATAGACATGGCATGTAGCTCTCAGCGGGATGTGCCATTATCTTGACGTACCGGCGACACGGTGTACTCGTCCGTGAGCTTCTTCCCGCGGACGCTCTCATTGAGGTGCTTGATGAAGACAAGGTGGCGCTCATAGGCCTAAGCCATGGTAATAAGGATCATGCGGCGAAGACGGTCGCATACATCGGATGCAAGGAACTGGCGCATGTCGGCCTCCGAGAAGATCGCGCGCTGGGGGAGCTGGAAGCTGTGGGTCGTCGCCATTTTGGGGAAGCGAAAATGACCCCTTACTGGAACTGAATGGGGTTGTCCGGATACGCATTTACATCCGGACGTTGCAGCGATGCGGGTGTTTCGGGCGACGGACGACGGACCTGCGGACGAGTTGGTCGAGGTGGCGAATGGCCGCGCGTCCTGCATCCTCAAGATAGCGGCCCCTGGCGGGGACGGCCAGAGCTGCGTGTATTACGAGGCAGCTATGATTGGCTACGTCCAGTGCTCCCCAACGGCGCATGACCTGCAAGCCTTGTTGCAGCGCCACATACGGGATGGCCTGGGCACCCTTCCAGGCTGGCGAGCGGTTTTCCGCCGAATCGATCGCGACTTTGACAATTCTGTCGTCGCCTCTCACTCGTCGCTCTTTGGACCAAGCGAGATCGAGATGGAGCTGCGCGTCGCAGGCCATTGCATTCGCATTGTCTGCGGCCTTGGCTTTGTCTTGACGCGGGCCTTTGTCTTTCTCGACCACGACGATACCTCGCATGACGTGCTTTGCAATGACCGCTCGCTTGAGACGTGTCTCGATCGCATCCAGTTGATGGTTCACGACCAGAAGCGCATGCGACAGGGCTTCGTTGAACGGGTTCGCGACCACGCCGTCGGTACGTCGATATAAATCAAAGTCCAAGAATGACTCGTATGTCTTGTGTAGTGCTGCAAGTCGATACGACCAACTATCGTCAATTCGTTGTTCTCGTTCAGCACGACGTGACGTCGCACACCTGGATCGACATTGTCGAGGTGACTCTGCCCCTTCTCTGGGGCCTCTCCGACGTGGACGCGGGCCAAACCAGTGGCTTTCTCGTAAAGCTCCGCCTTATCAGCCCAGGCGGCAAATCGGAACTCGAGTTATCAACAGAAGTGCGCAATCATATCGCAAGGCTTATGGAGTCTACCGACGCCGATACCGCGACGTTCGTTCCGTGGCTGTTGAACGTTCTCCGAGAGCGGTTTAGGGTAGTGCAGGATGACACCAAATGTTGATTTAAGATTTAATGCAGCTTCCATTTAAGTGCCGAAACGTCGCCGAGCTTGCGAGGGTTGCGCAGCGCTCGGGCAAAGAAGACAAGCGCCGCCAGCGCGCAAAACACACCGACGACAATGAACGCAACACCCAGCGGTTTATTTTCGCTGCCGTACCACGCGAGCTCTGCCAGCACGAGCGCCTTGGTGCCTACACGAACGTATGTAGGCGTCGTCCTTGTGCATCGAATGGGTTACCGCCAGAAAAAAAGTTGGATTGGACCGCAAACGTGAGCTCTGTCCCGTTGCGCAACTTGTCCTTGGCGATGCGGCCGTAGAGCTTGCGTACGATTGGTGTCGCAGTGACATCAATCCAAACGCGAAACCATTCGTTTTCGAGTCCGACGCCCGGCGGCGCAGTGGTTGTCCACGCCGTGCTGTTGGAGTAGTCAGGCGTCATCTATTCCAGTTCTCTCGAATGCTGCTTACATATCAACAAAACTTACTGAAGGGGGGTTCGGGCGGTCGGGCATCGGGATGATACGACTGTAGTTTGGATTGTGCCAAATAGGTAGATACCTTGCCAGATCCAAGGACACACTTGGGTTCTTCACATTGTACGTCAGGAACGACTTGGCAATACCTGACGGGATCAGTGAGTGAGCAGCATATTAAAGTAAAATCAACGCACCTTCGTGCGTGAGGTCGCCGTGGCCGAGGACAGGGCCGTTGATAACTGATCCATTGTGCAACCTGACATGGTCACAATCGCCTTGTCTAGTGGATCAACGTGTACCAGAAGATGTCGTTGAACATTGTATTCGCGACCAAGCCGCATGGATAGAGCTGCCGCGATTGTTCAGAGCCGTTGCAGACGGTACCATAGCACGCGGTTGATGTGACGGACACCAGTGGGTCGCAATTGGTTGTGCTGAAGGCGTTGTCAGCCCAGAGATCCATGAGCTGGCTGGGCTCTTGCGAAGCGACGAGGCGACGGTGGTTTTGGAAAAATGGATCGAGCTCGTAGTAGAGATGGCCATCACTGACAAAATCTTTTGTGACGCGGATAGTAACGTAGCATGTGTGCTGGCCACTGAACGAGTTGGCGTCTGCGGGCGAGGACACGTGGCAGTTGCTTAGGCGCGCAACATACCCGTCCACCTGCGTCGCATTGAGCTGGTCCGGACCGTCGTACACTACGCGGTAGACGCTTAGCTGAGAGGTGCTGCGGCAAACGAGGATGCCCAGTACGAGACACCCAATCGCGCTCGCAAAAAGGATCACGATGGTCCACCACAACGTCAAGATGGGCTTCCACGTGGGCAGCGTTTGCTGCGACCAGCGAGAGTCGTCAGGGCGGTTGAGGCTGGGGGGCGCTACAGCTAGTCCAGCGTGGCGCGAAGCTTCGTCAGGTCCTTCGCGTTGGGCTGGCGGACGCACCGACTCGGGTCGCTTCGACATGGTCGTTGCAGGTACTCGTATGTGACCCTTCGTAAATTCTCTGAAACTACTTCCAATCGTGATTGGACAAAAAGTCCTGACAATTCGCCAATCATGGATGATCATGCTTGATTTGCTTCATCCTCTCCAAAAGGTCGTGTGGCTTGGTGAAACGACACATACGACGAAGGCCAGTACATCACGCGCGGCGATGCGCGTACAGTCGATGCCAAGGATGGGGTTGATGTTCATGAGACTCTACAGCCCAGGTCTACGCACGAAACGAAGACGTTGGCCATGTATGGTCGCGACACGGCTGCATGCAAGCATCTCGCTTGAGGTCGTCGCTCGTGTAGTTGTCCTGGATGCTCGTGTCACGTTGGGTGGAATTTGGCGCCTGGTGCATCGGCATGGTCATCGCGGCTTCGCGCGAGCCTATCGAGGTACTCGCGCACAAAGGTCCCGTCAGCGTCTCTTCTTCAAGAACCATCGGGTAAATGGCCTTGATAAAAAGGGCCTTGATAGGCTCGAGTAAGCCTACCATGAAGCCCGTCGCCCCGACGTCAATGATGCCGTGCCGATCTCGGTGTTTTCATCCTCGTCATCTTGAAATGACCATTCCACCTTGCGCTACGCTCGAGTGGGGCAATATATGACTTGATTAACCGCTCGAATTTAGGATTGGCGTGGCGGGTTAGAGTATAATTGTAAAGTGAGCTACGTAGTACACTGCCTACTCATTACGTCTACCGGTGTTTTTGCGGCGCTTGGAACTACCGGTACCACTTTCCGAGAAGAGGATGGGTAACCCCGCGCGAAGAAGGATGATCTTTAGATGAAGATAGCGAGAAAAGAACATCAGAGCCACGGCGAAAGCGTGTCCGCTTGAGATTTGCACCTTTAGTAGCTAGCTAACACTGGCCACTACTGGTACTACATTTGTTGCCCCACAAGTTCAGTCTTTGCACGAAGACAAACATGTTCTCGGGCGTCTTCGCTTTTGGCGTCGTGAAGCCGACGGGCGCGGCCATGCAGAGCTGGGCCATGGACAACTACCATTGATATCTTGAGCAAGAGCGACATCATGAAGGCGCCATTATCGCGCTCAGCCGGAGGCCCCGTACTTGGTGCAGGTGATACAGAAAGCCTGCTTGCACTTCACGCTCTAGCTCGAACCACTTGTCCACTCTAGTGCCCCGGATGCGGCGTCCGTTGCTGTTTAAAATGGCCCACTATATCAGGTCCCCTGCGAGGTA